TAACTGTTCCAACTTACCCCACGTTTTTTTAACTAAGGGGGAGTATAAACTGTTTATTAAATCAACAAATTATACTCTTCAGCTCACTGATAAATTTGGTTAAGATCAGTATGAAATCTTCATGACTTTCTTTTTTTGCAATTTGGAAAGCTCAACCTCACAGTCTTTTACTAATTAAGATAATAATTTAAATTAATTTCGATGGAAGTAACTTGTGCTTCCCAACTGATACTTGAAATGTATTACTGGGCTACTAGTCAACAATTTCAAAAATCACATAGTTGTATTAGTAATTAAATTTTTGCGTAATCTTTGCTCCCCTAATTTTATACTATTCGTTTATATTTCCCTAATGTAGTATATACAGATGTTAGCCGCCATTGTCCATCTACTGTCTTTGCTGTCTCTAAAATCTTACTATTTAATGAACGTTATGTAACCGATTAAAGAAGTTGGCAGGGCTTCAACTGGTTTGAATAGTCAGATGCAGTTTGCCTCTTGTATTTCTGTCTTCCTATATGGCTTGTCACAAGTTTCTAATTCTTTACCCTTTTGCTTTATTTCTGCTTCCGCAGCCGTGCCGATCAGCATACTCTTGAAAATATCTCTTCTACTTCTACAGCCATGGATACTGGCCTTCTTTCTTGGGGTTTTGGAGAGGATGACCCCCTGGAGTCTTTAAGAGGTCAAAAGAAGAAAGCAGAGGATGAATTGAGGTTGGAATGGAGTGACGAAGAACAAGGTAGGCTCTCTTAATCTCGTCCTCTGTTCATTTAATGTAGTGAAGGTAGCATAATTGACCTTGCCTTCTTTTTAATCGTAACTTTCATATATAAATTATTTGCATAGAGAAAGCTAATTATCAATTGGTAGACTAACTTTAGTAAACAAACACAAACATCCGGGACGAACTCAACCAATCATTTTATGAAATGTAGTCTTGAAACTTTCCTTATATACGAAAAAACAACCTAGCATTATTTGCCTGGCACCTCCAGATTAAAATGCTTTCTAAGCTCGATAATCTCATATCACACGATCCATATGAACAAACATATTGGATCCATTTATTTCTCGCATCTTGATAATCTCTACTATTAAAAAAGCATTATTTTTAGCTGCATCGTATATGCTGCTATGGGTTGACTGCAAAATGTGCTGAATATCGTCAAACTTCGAAAGCTCAAGCACATTTAATGAGGTTGGTGTTAATCTCATCAGTTCATTGAGGAGTTGTATTGTGTTACCTGCCCAAAGATGGTCATACGATTTCTAATTTATTCCGCCAACAACAGGACATTGGTGACAAAGAAGACTGCGACCAAACAGAAGGCCGCACTATCTTGGTCCTCATATTTACGTTTCGAGATGAAATTCGAGGAAACCCTGCGAGTTTATCCTTAGAATCCTCATTCAGGCTTGAATCTTATTGTTATTTGACAATTTTTCTGGGGCAAAGTCTTTCGAAAGGCTTACTATGTGAATAATTTTTCTAAGTAATTTTTTAAGAGATTTATTGACAATTCGAAGGGTAGTGCATCCATAAATTAACACGTATAGCCGATTTGACATATTTGATGAGGCTAACTCTGATGCAATATTATTGTACCCTTATAGTGAATCGAATTGCATCAGAGTCGTTGAGCGTTTAATCTTAACCCTTGCCTTGAATGTATTTCTTGTCTTACATTCTCAATATAAACTTCAAGACTGACAAGAATTGTATTTCGTATATCGTCGCTGTTAACCTTATTTTTCATTCCCAGATCAAATTTTCTCTGAAAATAAGGTACCACCTCTCTCAAAGTATACAATAAAGCCAAAGGATGGCCAGATTATTGACGGTGGCGATGATGTAGCTGAGAATGGTGAACTGGCAGCTGTGGTAACAGAGGATCTCAATGAATGTGCGGATATTGAGGAATTTGACGAAGATAGTGATGAGGTTGAGGGGGATATTGATGTAATGGCCTGTCAACTGAAGTTTATCGCTTGCCTACGAATCATTGCAGAGGAGCTAAACACTCTAGCCACTGGTGCAGAGGTAAGCCGATTCCGTATCGGGACAAAGGCTTTGCTATAATTTTTATTCACTCATATATAGCTTACTTATTTTTATATCTACTAGGCAAGTTCTGGATTCAATTTATGCTTACCTGACTTTTTGCTTTGCTACAAGTCATAATCGTATTCGGAATGTTCAACTCTCTTCCCTCTAATGCGAAAATTGATAATGGTTGCATTGGGGTACTGAAACCCCTTTAAAGACCGCAAAACTAAGATACTTAACTGCTACTGCATGAGGCATTACGTACGTGGGCTAGTTGACCAGTTGTCATAAAGTAAAAAATCCTCAGCTCCTATATATTTTCATCTGCTATGCTCACGGGCTTGGATATATCAATAGGATTCCGAATCGCCCTATTAATT